GGCTTAAAGTCAGGGATCAACCAGCCATTCTGTTTCGCAGGCCAACAGGCAAAGCCCATCCTACCAGGGAACGCCCAGGTTTCTCTGCAGCCACACTCGGCAAAACATCACTTCTCCGGAGGCAGCCTGCGGAGCCCGGTCGTGGTCAGCGCCGTGTCCTCCCTCAAGTCCAACCCCCTGGGTTCACGAGTCCAGGCGGCGGCCACCACCTTTGCATCAATCACCGCCAAGAAAAGTGGCTCGTCTGTCCTAAGCACATCTTGCACCCAGAAGTGGAAAATTTGCACCATTTGCAATGAGCTCTTCCCAGAGAACGTTTACAGTTCTCACTTTGAGAAAGAGCATAAAGCCGAGAAGGTTCCTGCCGTGGCCAATTACATCATGAAGATTCACAACTTCACCAGCAAGTGTCTCTACTGCAACCGCTATCTCCCCAGCGATACCTTGTTGAACCACATGCTCATACACGGCTTGTCCTGCTCACACTGCCGCGCCACCTTCAATGATGTGGAGAAGATGGTGGCTCATATGCGTCTGTCGCATCCAAACGAGCCGGTGGGCCCTCGCACCGATTCGCCCCTGACTTTCGATCTCACCCTGCAGCAGGGCAACCCAAAGAACGTTCAGTTGATTGTGACGACCTACAACATGAAAGATGCCCCAGAGGAGTCCGTGGCTTTTCATGCCCTTAACACATCCATATCGCCTTCCCTGTCCACCTCCCTGCTGTCAGCCAAGAGGTTGTTGTCTCACCACCCACCTAAAATACACTCAGGGGTACCTGACAGTGCGTCTCTCAAGAATGTCCCACAAACGTCCGTACCATACAAGAGGGACGTGGGAAAGACCCTCTGTCCCCTTTGCTTCTCCATCCTCAAGGGCCCCATCTCGGACTCTCTGTCCCACCATTTAAGAGACAAGCATCAAGTCATTCAGACTGTCCACCCGGTAGAGAAGAAACTAACCTATAAGTGTATTCACTGTCTTGGTGTATACACAAGTAACATGACTGCCTCCACCATCACCTTACATTTGGTGCACTGTCGAGGCGTAGGCAAGTCCCACAATGGACAAGATAAGTCCGCTCACGCCTCCCGAATCAGTCAGGGGCTGGGCAGCGCCGTGAAACGAGCCGCCCTCGAAAGTACTGATGCTAGTGCACCAAAAAAGAAGAGGCGAGGACCTCCTGGGGAGAGAGCACACCCGAGAGATATGAACGGTTCATTTGACGAAAACCCTGAGGACCCCGTCGCCCTTGCCCTCGATCCCAAAGGACTTGAAAATGAGTCGTACGAATCGAGAAAGGCGTTTCTCACTCGCTACTTCAATCGAGTGCCCTACGCCACGCAGCGAGAGGTTGAGAAGCTGGCGGCCGGTCTGTGGCTGTGGAAGTCGGACATCACTAGCCACTTTGTCAACACGCGCAGAAAATGTACGCAAGAATGCGAAAGCTACAACCCTGGCGTCTTACTCGGATTCAGCATGCACGAAGTTGGACAAGTGAGCCACGGGCTGACGCTGGACGCGGTCAACGGTTCAAACCAGAGCCAACCAGGCCAAAGGCGCACATCCAGGATGCGCTTGGGACTGTCAGAACGAGCCCGCCAAAGGCGCAAGGAGTTGGTCGCTGCGAATGGCGGCGCCGGGATCGTCAAGGGTTTTACTTCCCAACTGAACGTCACCACAGACCAAACCGAGACAATCAACAGCATCCTACTGCACAAAACGCCCGCAGGCCCCACCGAGCCCATCGCCATCGACTCCGACAGTGAAGAGGACGTCCAGCGGGAGTCATCACGAGCGCTCAGTCACGCTCCAGGAACTGAGGAGAGAACGGCGCTCACGGCGGGGGCCAAGGTTGCATCAAACCTACAAGACGCGTTTGAAGACGACGATGAGGATGACGACGACGATGACGATGATGACGACGACGAGGATGAAGGGGTGCACTTTGAGAACGGCTTTGGGCCCACTGAGGCAGCCAAAGGAAGGGATGCGCTGCCCATTATTATTCCCAAATTTGTACCCTCATCTGCTCGGCGGGGTGGCGACGGAGCACAGCTGGGTAAGCAGCAGCAGGTCTGACTACTAAGACCTGCAGCCCCACACCAACAAATCTGCCTCACCTGGACCCAAGGATCACACAAAGGAACTCTAAACAAGCCATCCAAGGACATTAGGATTAACTCGACGGCACTGGACAATGTGCAAGCTTCAAAGAGTACACCGTGAGTTTTTAGCAAACTAGGAATATCAAGTATTTTGGCTTACATCAACCAAAAGGCTTTAGCATTGATTTAGCCACTGGATTTGTAAACATGACCAGATGATCCATCTTTTCTTGTCTCTTTTTTTTTTTTTTTTTTTTTTAACCCACTTGGTTTTTCTGAGAAGTTGTAAATTTGTACAGTCTTTGACGCGTTTGGACAGATGTTGCCGTACATCTTCTCTTGGATATTTGCTATAAAGTCTAAGGTAGACATCACTCTGCTTCATGATAGGTGTGTTGCTTTGGTGGCTGGTCTTTTCTTATATGTTAATTTTATTTTTTAACGATAAGTAATTTTTCTTTTGCAAAATAAGATATGAATAAATAATTCTGTTAAATTGGTCATTTTATTTTAACACAGCTGTTCTCTTTTGAGCAGATTACAGTATTTTTGCAGCTTTGTGCTTATTAGCCATGACTGCAGTCTATTGCTGTTTTTAGCATTACCTGTTATCTTCGCTCCTCCCCCACTCACACATACACAACTGATGACTGGATGGTAACATCACATTTAAAAAATATATATTTACCTCATGTTTCTTTAATTCATGTGTGTTTGTTTTACACAAGTTTATTTTCCACTTGCGTATTTAAAAATAAAGTGCTGTGAATGTTTCTCACAGGAATGTTGGCCAAACCATCTTGATTTAATTTTAATGGTTGGGTAAATGTTTTTACATGGTTATTAAGAATCTACACACACCACTTGTTTTTTTGAAAGTGTCCACCAAACAGAACACTACCATTCAATCTTCTACATCATATATCTTGTCATGCAATCACTAAATATCATACACGTTTAAAAATGATTTAAGAACGCAAATATTTATGGGTTATCCCAAATGGTTAGACCCCACATGTGATAAGGGAAAATAATGCAACTGTGTTGGCACTGCGCTTATCGTGTATGGTGTACTCGTTGACCACCATGGCGCACCATCACATGGTATCTTTCATGGACCTGCTCAAACCCACATCACGGAGTGCCAAGACTAACCCGTGAGAGACAAGATGGTGCCGCGGGGCATCGAGACAGCTCGAAAACACAAAAGGAAATTTCTGTGTCTGGCAGCAGCGCAGACTTCAGGTCACTTCCTTGTGCATATTTTCGAAGCGGAAGCTGGAGGACCCTGGCTGCTGCTTTACAAAACATTGGACAAAAACACACTGTCAAGCCTCAAGAGGTGAAATCCTGAAGTAGGGATAAGGCCTAAAAGACTTAATTGGAGATGTGGAGGTGATTTGATCCCATCTTTTGCTGTCCCACACCCTAGTGAGGAAGACAAAATGGAGGGGAAGAGAGGTCTCCTTGGGTGGCTAGTCCGTGTTGCTATGCTGTGATAAGGAGCAAGAGGAGGAGAAGGAGAGGCAGACGGGCGAAGGGGGTTGGGGGAGGCGTCATCTGCAGTGCTGTGTGGAGGAGGAGGGATGAACAGGCCTTCGATAGGGAGAAGCAGGAGAGGAGAGGGTGTGTTGGGGGAGGGGAATGGGGCTCGGAAACGGGGGAGTAACAGGAAGGTGAGAGAAGGGAGGGGTGAGGCAGAGGAGCGGCTGATCGAGAAGGGGTGAGGATGATATGAGGATTGGTTATGGGCGTGTGGCGCCCCCTGTTGTTGGAAAATACTCATAGGGGTCCTGCGTGTACGTGCGGACTTGACGTTGGGCCACCTTTTTTGACCCCCCCCCCCCACCCACACACACACACACAAATACAACTGGACACTGGTGATCACGGGGCGAGGATGTGGGGATTATGCAGGCTGCGGGAATAAACAAGAGGCCCTTTGAAGGGAGGGCTGATGGTGGGTAAAATGGTAGTGAACGGAGAACCAGACTGAGTCAAACATGCACACACCCACACACCCACTTAAAGCCCCAGTGATTTAGAGAGATCATGAGTTGAAATCCAATTAATATTTCACTTCTAATTATTCCAATTTTACATAACACCCACTACCCACCTACACTGAGTGTCTCAACCAATATCATGTCCAGCATGGTTGGCTGAAATTTCTGAGTGACAGAACCATTTTGATGTGTAGGCCCAAACATGTCAAGGCCAAAAGGTAAGCACTGGTGCAGTATTGGTGGACGTGCCAACCAGTCGACCACTGTGCCGCGCTAGGCCTTTCGATCCATCCATCCATCCATTTTCCAGTCCACTTATCCGTACACGTGGCGCGGGTGTGCTGGAGCCTATCCCCGTTGTCTTCGGGCAGCAAGTGGGGCACACCCTGAATTGGTTGCCAGCCAATCACAGGGCACACATCAACGAACAACCATTCATGCTCACACTCACAATTGAGTGTTCCATTGACCTGCAACGCATGTTTGGAATATGGGATGAAACCTGAGTACCCGGAGAAAACCCACACAGACACGGGAAGAACATGCAATCTCCACACAGACAGGCCGGTCTTGAACTGCCAGGCCGGAGGCCGAGAGGAAGACCAAAGAGGAGCTTTATGGATGTAGCGAAAGGGGACATGAAGGTAGCTGATGTGAGAGAAGAGGATGCACAAAACAGGGTTAGATGGAGGCAACTGATTCGCTGTGGCGACCCCTGAAGGGAAAAGCCGAAAGGAAAAGAAGAAGACTAATGTAGCCGGCGAAGAAAATGAGTGAGAGCTAGTTTATTGTGCCATTTTATCCACCAGATGTCACTGTACAGCAATGCAACCAAATTCGCTTCGCTCTTACTTTGAAGCCAACTACGGACAAACTTTTATTTTGAAGCCCCACTGCTCGGTTCGCAAGAGGAGAGAGAACAGAGTCCGACCAAGGCGACCGCACCGTACAGTAGCCGCTACCAGCGCACCGGTGTCCGGCTGTGAGCCAGACAGTATGACGGGGAACAAGTTCAGGACCTGCGGGGCTGCTCGAGGGTAGCTATTCATCGTTACTTTCGACGGACAACACGAACGTTGACGCCGACCAGGCTTTTCACCTTCCCTCACTGGAAGCGTATCGAACGGATTCGGCTCTTTTTTGGTCCCAAGCAGAGGTCGGTGGTGAAACATGAACAAGAACCACCGAGTGCCGAGCAACCGTTCTCTGAGTGCCGTGGAGGTGAAGAGTAAGGTGATTATTCCAACTTGTGTTCATGTTTGTTTGTTTTTAGTTGTTGCTGCCACAATGACATGCTCCACTCGAGGCTAATTTAGCTCAGCTAAAGTGCTCGGTATCAAGTTGTTAACTCAAATGAGCAAGTGTACGCTGAAACAAAGTTAACCCGAAGTGGTTGCTAACTGGCTAGCATAAAATGGTGGGAATAACCGTGGTTCGGACTGGTCACGGTAAGTTTTCGAAGGTGTGCGTCGCGGTGGGACATGTCACCTGTCACTGCCTCCTCGAGCTTCCTCCCACTAAATATTGACTCCGAGTCCAAGTCGAGTTTACATTAGGGCGGGTTGACGTAAGTACGAGACTGCTGTTTTTTTTTTTTATGGCGCCTAGGACATGCTAGGGAAACTAGCTCGCTCGACGGTTCTTTTGCTGGAGTGCACAGGTGTCTTTGGGCCCACAAGGCTGCCGGCACCTTCCGCGGTACGGGACCTCACCTTGGGCAAGGAGGGCGGACTCTGGTCCCTCAAGGCCAGAGGCGGGCAAATTTTTGTGGCTAAGCGACGCATCTGATTTTTAAAAAGTACAGATGGGCCCAGGTTTTAAAAAGTTACAATATGTTTGAAAATGCTATGTTTAAAAAAAACAAACGTCATTTTAAATCTTTCAAAGGTACCTTGACTTAGGCCTGGGTGATTATGAATGAGAAAATAATGAATTAGTAAACAAGTAAAATCATCATCATAATAGTTCAATAAATAATAAAATAACAAGAAATCCAAAACAATATACAAATATACAGCAGCTGTTCGTCCTTTGGCCTCCCTTAAAATGAATTTCTGCCCACAGAAAAAAAAAACACTACAGTTGTTTTGGTTGCATACGTTTGAATAAGAAAACTAACACTTTTTGTATAAAAAAACTGAGAATTTTAAAAAATGGTTTTATCAAGTTTAATTACTGTATAGCATTCACGTGTTGCATGTGTGCCCTTAAGGGGTGTGACCGAGTGAGTGATGTCAGGAGCTGGAGTCAAGTTGGACTGTGAGTCAATATATGAGTGTCTGGGCATATGCTGAGGCCTACAGCAGCCCTTTGCAAGTGCTCTTCTTCAGTTTTTCTGTTTGACTGTTTGTCCCGTTCAATAAATGTCTGAAACTGCATTGGCATCTGCGTCTCTCCTTGCCAACTTCCTGGGGCATTATTGTACTTTGGTTGCTCAATTAAAAAAAACATTTTTCCACTTCACTTGAGCAGCAGTGTATCTGTGGCCTGCTCGAAACAAAATAAAAAAAAAAAAACAGAAGGGGCACTCCTCAGCCACCGTATCACTGTATTACAGTACCCATAAGTAATGTAATTTAGGGCTGCACCTTGCATTTTAGTAATCGATGAATCTGTCGTGTTTTTTTTTTTAAGTCTGCATATGAAACATCCTGTTCTATTGATCCTTGAATGCACCTTGTGCACAGTGAAAAGTAAACTAAAAGAGCGTTTCTGCCTCTCTTCCGATGCTGCTTCTAAAGTGAGACTATTTTGCCATAGTAATTTACTTGTATTTCCCAACATTGATTCTTGTGTGTAAATGCCAAAAGGTAAGTTTAATGGCTTAATACCGTTTGTGTACATTATTAACTGTTTGTGGCAGTGTGCGTGGAGGGGGGTACCCGGTACAATCAAGCCTCACTATTCACAAGAGATAGGAACCAGGCGAGCCCATGAAAAGTTAAAATCCGCTTATTTTGATGGCCATTGAAAGGCTTTAGCAAAACAAAAAAGTTGATATCTATCATTTTTTTTCCAACCCCTTGTAAATGATTCCCAAAACGCTGGTAAACATTCAATATACGTTGACACTAAAAACGAGAGGAAGCGACATGAAAAAAAATGTACAAAGTGCCGAACTGTGAGTATACAGGGGTAGACTGTAGTCCCATTTTAAGGTTCATGTTTTCTTTGTGTCCCCCTATTCTGCCCCCATCACAGTTCGGTGCAGAGTTTCGCCGGTTCTCTCTCGATCGCTCAAAGCCAGGCCGCTTTGATGAGTTCTACGGCCTCTTGCAACACGTCCATCGTATTCCCAACGTGGACTTGCTTGTGGGTTACGCCGACATCCACGGCGACCTGTTGCCCATCAACAATGACGACAACTACCACAAGGCTATCTCCACTGCCAGCCCCCTCCTCAGACTCTTCCTTCAAAGGAAAGGTAAGAATGCACGAAAAATAGGGAACACGTTCCACCTGTTCTTCCTGGATCCTGTTTCCTGTTGATAAGCAGACTTGTGGCTTGAGCAATAGCTTGCAATTGAACACCTGAGAACTACGGGCTTGGCTATTGCGAAGGAAAACATTGAGTCACAAAACAAAATGAGCTTTTCTTGCTCGTTTGACTTCATACTGTTGACAGAAAGTGCAAGAGAATACAGGCAATCACAACATATTCACGCATACTCCTGCCTTGAGTATTCTGAATATATAACGCCTGTCCATGTATTCCGTTACTCCTCAAGCCTTGCCATTCTAATCCTTATAGCTGTGTAGTGGTAAGGGGTTTTAAAGCATTCAAAGGAATGCTTTGTCTATGTTGCTCAGCTCTCTCAATGAGCAGAGGAAGTGGTGGTGGTAGTGGTGATTGTAGTAGTGATTGCGCACTTGTGATTGACTAGCAATCAGTCCAGGGTGTACCTTGCCTGACAGCAATTAGGATGAGCACGACAGGTCATGGATGGAAAAGTCATTGTGACCCGTTCAATGCGGTGTCAGAGTTTTGTTGTCCGCAAGTTGTTGTTTAAGGTGCCAGATGACCCGAGAGAAGCTAAGCCACTTTGTCATGAAGGAGATTAGTTGGGGTCAGTGTGCTGCGCCGCATGGGACCGTGTTTCAATTACACGCTCCAGACATGAGCACCACGCTGGGCCTCTGCTGCTCCAGCTCAGATTTACACACACACACACACACACACACACACACACACACACACACACACACTATGGCAGGCATGCAGTTGTTACGTCCGTCTTGTAAGCCCTGTCTTTCTGAAATTGTTGGACAACACAGGAGAAGAACATTCACTTCTTCTAATTGAGAGCAGTTGGTTAATGGTAAAGAGGCTCTTTGGATGCTCTTGTTAATGAACTGCTCGTCACTATCCGTGTGTGTCGTGGCGACATTTATGTGGATCTGTGCTAGCCTAGTGGCATTTAAATCAGCTCAGTAACTTTTGTTGTAGACATCCAAAACACAATCCAATCCAATCCAATCCAAGGAGCTGTTTATGATTCACATCGTTTGGACAATAATTACAAAGGAAATAAAACTAACTCGTGTGACAGAACGGTATATCGTGTTTTTTACATTCGCCCCACAGTCGGGAGACCCCAGGTCTGAATCTTGCCTCATTCCCCTTCTGTGTGGAGGTTGCATGTTCTCCCCATGCTTGCGTTCTAAATCACGTATGTCAGATTTAAGGCCTGTGGGCTAAATCTGGCCCACCATGTCGATTTTCAATGGCCCTCCAGAGGTTGATAACATGGCAAAAGGTGAGACTAATGCAAGGCAAAAGGTGAGACTAATGATATTAGGGATTTGGGGGAGGCCCACATCTTCTTGTCATGGAAAAATACCCACAATCTTGCGGAATCCAGTGCTTTATAGCAGGGGTCCCCAACCGCCGGTCCGCGGACCGGTACCGGTCCGCAGGGCATTTGGTACCGGGCCGCACAGAAAGAACTTGCCTTAATTCCGTTTTATTTCGGAATACGAAAGATGTTTTATTTTGAAAAATTACCGGATTCTCCGTTACATCCGTCTGTGTCACGCTTGACACACGTCAAGCCACGCTTTCCCCCGTCACGTGACCGATTCCGCTTAAAAA